GGGATGTTTCACATTCCTGCAAAGCACATCGGGCAGTTTTGCCGATGCAGCTGCAACTGCACGATTCCGCAAATGGAAACTTTTGTTCGCAGCTGTGACCAAACGTTCTTACGATCGTCTAGGTGCGGAGATATCGAGTATTCTTGAAATGGCTTTCATATCGGCGTATCTTTGATCAAGTCTCGTTAATAATTCTCTAAATTTGCATAAAGCACAACAATAATTTGCGAGAAATAAATTCAGCATAAAGTATATACACAATATTCGCTGGCGGTAACGGAGGCAGATATAATACATGATCGTATATATCTTCAATTGATCGATATTAGGAATATTCGGATCGAATTCTGGTCACAATAAAAGTCGAAAATGTAATTCCGCTAATGACAGACAAATAGAATACACGGGGCTGGAATGTCGGGAGGAAGAAGTTAACGATCATCAAAAGTCAGGAAGCCCGATCGTAAATTTTCGTATGACGTTTATAGTCGGACACCTCGCGGCTGAAATTCTCGCTAGACGGGAATCTGAGACGTACGATGATCGTCAATCTGATCGGCCGCGACGAGTACGGATTGGACTTTAGAGTGATTTAACTCCTGCCGGAGTAGGCTGTATTTTGTTTTAATAATTTACGTCGCGCCGCGTATTATCTCGAGAGAGGCGCCGCTGATAATTTCGAGTCTGAGAAGCTCCTTGGCCCGCTTCCAAATTGTAGAAGAATTTTCAGATTTAAGCAAAATTCGCGCTACCATTCTCATAGAGTTTCGTTTAATGCCAACATTTCCAATCTTTAAAGCCAAGCTATCTCGCCGAACAGTTTTGAAATTTTTGTAGATTTCTCGTTGATAAAATGTTAAAAAAATAACATATGTTTCGCGCATGTATGGCGATGTAAAGTTTCAATATTCCACGATTATAAAATAAATCGTAACAAAATATCCATGTTTGTAACTCGCATGAAATACATTTTGTTACTGTAAACAACTTGTCTTTCGTAAATGGAATATCTTTCTCGCGATACCTTATCACACAGCAACTAAACTAAGTAATTGCAAACTTTGGAGATTTTACGCAATTGACTTGATCCGAAATCTAATCGTGTTTGCAAACTATTCCCGGAACGGATATCGAATTCCCCATTCACGTTTGATTCCCCCGCCCCCCCTCCCCCGGCGAAATCTCCAGCGGATGAACGCCAATAGAGATGCAGTACAAACTGCAACCACGACGATTCGAGGGAAATGGAACAAAGTGACCGTAAAAGTTCCCATGATATTGGTAATAATGACGGTACTCTTAGCGAGCGATCCTGCTCGTGACAAGATTGAATCGGTAAGAATCCATAAAACTTTCGCGATACAGCACACGATTGTGAAAATCCTATGGTTAACGGAGAAATATATCTGCGATTTTTTTTTATGTATTCGTTTCCACGTAACGTACAAAATCTCGTCAAATTGTCGAGAGTTTAACTTTTTTTTTACACAACCAGACAATAAATACTTAAAAAATATAATAATAATTATACAAATCGCGCAATCATTTTGCGCTTTTATACTATTATCTTTAAATCCTCAAAATTAATTAAGACGAAAATAGTAATCTTTAATTTATAGAACATAATTTCTGGATTTTTTTAGTTCTTCGTCGCCTCGAAGGAAATTCATATAACTGAAATCGCCGTTAATTGATAGCTTAGAGGACACATTATCGGAATGATACACGAGCGATTGTGACAGAGAATAATCTTCATCGAACTTCATCTACAACGCAACATACGCGCGTGCACTAGAGCGCGGATCTCTTTACCATGAGATTGCCGCTGAACTCATTTAGCGTCTACCCAATCTCACTGGTCGTGCATTCCGGGCCGTTTTTAGATTTAACCTACCCAAATATGCAAATTGCCGAGGAACGTAGTCGAGCTACTCCAAAGATTCCTGGAGGAGAATGGGCGATTCAGTTGGCTTGTACTGGAAGGGGAATATAATCTTCGCCTATGGGAGATTGTGGGCAGCCGAAATGAACGAGCAAAAAGGACATCAGGAATTCGATCGGATGTGTATGTGTGTATGTATATATAGATTTTACGTGATAGGATAAAAGCCGGTATATTTCTCACACAAAAGTCACGTTTTCCTAATAAAATAAAATAAAAAAAAAGAAAGAAATAGTTTATTAGAGAGAATTATCAGAGACACAATAATATTAGGTACAATGTATGTGCATTTTATAATCAAACATTCTCGAAGTCTAGGCGAAAATCCGTACTGAGTGACGCCAAAGTAAGCATCGGGCCAATAAAACTTTTACAAATTCGAATCGAGGAACTATTTTATCGCTCTTCCATGATGCATAAAATAGCACTGCACATTTCACGACAATCTTATAATTCATCGTATACAAAGCTTGGATTTACCTTCCGATATCGTTCTCGCAGTATTAAAATTGCATAGTTTTAATCTGGCTGAAGAAACGAATACATAAAAGCATTTTCCAACCTTTAGTATATCAGACGTCATTCTCTTACTATACAGAGTCGTATATAAATTATTATAAGTGGCTGCCTAATTTAATTTCTTCTTCGTGTGGTGGAAATTTAATTGTAAATCTTAATGGCCTTTTCGAGGTAGTTGATACGAGAGCGCTTTGGCGCTTTGTTGACATGTTCCAGGCCAAGCCAAGGCCTGTGTGGCGATGTGCCTGCGTTTAAAAGTGGATAGACTACAAAATTTATTCTTCATCAGCATCATATTACAATGTACTATGTACTAAATATAGTGAGACTATGCGATTATTCGACGCTCACTTTATTCGCATGCGTTAGAAAATGGAGAATAGAAACATAATTTATACTTACTCTGACCGGAAAATCTAGGAAGGAAATCGTCGACTTTGATACAACAGTCCGGCGAGTCGATAATGAACTGTGGCTTGCCCATTGACACCACCGCGAACTTAAACTTCAAAGTTTTTTTATGAATTCTCATAAGAGATCAAAAAAGATTAGCTAAGGATGCCTACCTTTTCGAATTCTTTTTCCTGTACTCCTAATTTCTTTAGCAATCTATCCTTCATTTTTTGAAAAGGTTCACCCTATAAAGTACAGCGTTACAATTATTAAAATATATATATATATATATATATATATATATATATATATATATATATGTATGCTTGTGCGGCGTTTCTCTATTAATGGCAATCAATATCTGTAGATATTAGCAACGAGGAGAATTAGCAACGTGAGAAATAATAATAATTCGATATGATAGATCGATATTTAAACATTGAACAGTCTCTCTGTTTCCTCCTATCTATAAGGATTACGCATGTGTGTTATATGTAACGCAAAATCTCTATATATTACATTTCTTTATCATATCTTTACAAAGATTCGCTCGCGGCAAATTTTTATTTTTATTATTTTACTGACAAACATTTAATTATTACAATTATGTTCTGAATATAGTGTTCTAAATGTGAATCGGAAAAATATAATCCCAGAAATATTAGTCCTAATAAATTAAATTAAAGCGCGTTCAAATATTGCACCTATACTTCTACACCTTAATTTAGTCTAAGCATTCACGCTGCAATACAAGTTTTCGGCTCGTTTTCCCGACATTAATTCAATTGCACCGAGAATTCGAATCTTAACAAGCAAAATAGAGTCCGAAACAAATCGTCACTCCGTACAGATAAGCCGTGCCGTTTTAGAGTCTCCCTTGCGCACTGAAAACAATTTGCTATCGGGCCGCGTAGGGCGCCTCGAAAAAAAAAAAAAAAAAGGGGCCAAC